AGAAGTGATACAAGACTAAGGAGTCAAACAGGGAAACAGTAAGAAGTGATACAAGACTAAGGAGTCAAACAGGGAAACAGTAAGAAGTGATACAAGACCAAGGAATCAAACAGGGAAACAGCAGACTGTGATACAAGACTAAGGAGTAGAACAGGGAAACAGTAAGAAGTGATACAAGACTAAGGAGTCAAACAAGGAAACAGTTGGCTGTGGTACATGAACAAGGAGTAGAACATGAATCAGTAGGCTATGACACAAGAGTAAGGAGACAAACTAAGGAGTAGAACATGAATCAGTAGGCTATGACACAAGAGTAAGGAGACAAACTAAGGAGTAGAACATGAATCAGTAGGCTATGACACAGGAGTAAGGAGACAAACTAAGGAGTAAAACATGAATCAGTAGGCTATGACACAGGAGTAAGGAGACAAACTAAGGAGTAAAACATGAATCAGTAGGCTATGACACAGGAGTAAGGAGACAAACTAAGGAGTAAAACACGAGTCAGTAGGTTATGACACAAGAGTAAGGATTAAAATACAGAAAATGAAATTTTAGATTACTGGAAACAGGAAAGAACATGAAATGTGAAAATTTTTCTACTTAAACAGCTATAGAAGAATACAAAAGCTTAGAGCAAACAAAGATTAAACATAACAAAGATGATGAGCGGCCTACTTCACAGTGGTCATCTGTCAATTCAGTGATTAAATACAGCACACATAATATACTATTCTCTTAACATATGAAATACCTAAAAATTTATATAAACCGATCACTCACCTCTCCAAGTTCTATTTTGAGCTCACAATAATGTTGCAGATTCCCTGCTAGCAGATGTTTATTAGCTGCTTCCAATAAACAGTCTTCTTTACTCTTAGCTCCAACACCCCCTGTTCCGTACCGTGTCATTTTAATCAACTCCAGTTCCTGGGCCTCAGACTAAAACATTAACATTAAGTTAAATGGATTGTTTTATCAAACCTACATTTCCATTTAACTTAATGTTGTGTTCTCAGTAATAGTTGTTTTATACTGTAGGTTTGTCCATTTAACTTAATGTTGTGTTCTCAGTAATAGTTTGTTTTATGAACTTTGTTATTTACGGTTCTCAAAGTATTAGCGTAAAACATTAATAGATGATAAATAGTAAAGCAAATGATTGATTAAACCTTCAATATGTTGTCTACATTCGTTAAATAAAATTAATTTAACTCTAACCTAGGTCAAGAGTAACTGTTTCAACTTGATCAAGTGTTATTTGCAGTTGCTTACAATTTTTAAAAGCATGATCTACATCCCATAATAGTGTGAATATTAGCTTCTATGCTAACCTACTTAACAAGGCTATAGATGTGATGTTACTTTCTGTAAATGAACCATACCAATGGAATTAAAAATCAAAACCATGAAAGCAGAAGCCAAAATAACCAATAAATGTTCATTTTTATGATATAACTTTCTATTAGTTAAAGAAATAACTTATCATGAAGAAATGTTTACTTTTTTTTCAGAATTTTAAATGTTAGAACACTCACAACAGAATGAACAAAAGAAAAATAAACACAACCTATTACTCCAGAAAACATAACTGGTTTTATTTAAGCCAACGTTTTGCCATTAAGGCTTCATCAGGACATACAAAACATTTGTTGAATCAGTTAATAACTCTCTTGTTTGCCCCAGTGTAGTCATAACAGTGAGATGTTGGCTCAAATAAAACCAATTATGTTTTCTGGAGTTATAGGTTGTGTTTTATTAATCTTTTCAACAATGAATACAAACCTCCAGTTTGTACTACAAACTATAAACTCACATAACGAGTCTACGAAGAACTTACAATCTTGAACTTGGTAAGATGTTTCTTGTGAACAATGCCATGCTTATATTGAGGTGAAAGCTGTGCCACATCCCAGTTATTCACAACTTTAACAAGGTCCCACATGTTTGTCACTCCATTAAGAGGCTGAAAAGTGATTTTGAAACTAAGTAAATCTGAAAAGTAACAACCTATTCAGTTTGTGACAAAATCCTTACAGTTATAATTTATGTATATTTCTAGAACTAGTGTAAACTTTGACCAAACAAAGGTGAAATAAGCATAAGCATTATCAAAGAATTTTTTTAAAATTTTCTTGTCAACTTTAACAATATTCTACAACTGTACTGACTTATATTTAATTTTTCCATGTTAGTCCTAATTTGGCAGCATGAATTTTCAAACATGTACACTGAAGCTTTAACAAATTATAGTGACTTTCTTCTAATCTCTACTTTTTCCAACTTGCTTACATATTAAACTCTTTAGAAATGATTCTGTTTCAACTACCACAACAAAGATCTGTTTTAATGAAAAAAAAAGCTGTCAAGGGTTAAAACATTTCAAAGCCTGAGGAATACGTTCAAGTTTATTGCTAAGTAAAAAAAACGTTAATCTAAATTTGTTTACTTCTTATATTATTACACATTTTTTTTGGACTAATTTTGCTAATTTTAACTGGTGAGTATCTTTTTCTGTCTTTGAGACTTATTGCATTAATACGAGTCTCTGAACAGCTATTAAATCACAGGTTTCAATAATTTCTTTACAAGTTGGTTATATGAGATAAACCCTACCACAAATAGTTCTGTGTACAGCTGTAAGGCTGAGATCATGTCTTTTGGTTTCTGTTTGAGGAAGTTATCTTTCAATTGTTTAGATGCTATTCCACACAGAGGTCCAGGACTCAGGGGATCTTTTGTGGACTCGGCTGGAAGGGGATCAAAGTTTGTATCAAAATGATTTGAATTAATACATCATCTAAACAGCTTGAAAATTTAAACATTTATCAAACAGTAAATAATAAACACAGCTACACATTCGTTTTAGCGTGATAAGGAAATAAGACACAAATATGGTCATATTTAAATGAACTCTTTTAGAAACAGCAACAACAGATTACATTAAAGTTGTTTCTTAAACAACAGATTACATTAAAGTCATTTCTTGAACAACAGATTACATTAAAGTCGTTTACTGAACAACAGATTATATTAAAGTCGTTTACTGAACAACAGATTACATTAAAGTCATTTACTGAACAACAGATTACATTAAAGTTGTTTACTGAACAACAGATTACATTAAAGTCATTTCTTGAACAACAGATTACATTAAAGTCATTTCTTGAACAACAGATTACATTAAAGTTGTTTACTGAACAACAGATTACATTAAAGTCCTTTCTTGAACAACAGATTACATTAAAGTCGTTTCTTGAAAGCTTCCTCTTTACTACAGACAGACATGTTTTTTCTTTCCTTCTGACTTCAGTAACAGCTAGAAAACTCAATTGGTTATCTACAGTATACAACAATACTGGTTATCTACAGTATACAACAATACTGGTTATCAACAGTATACAACAATACTGGTTATCAACAGTATACAACAATACTGGTTATCAACAGTATACAACAATACTGGTTATCTACAGTATACAACAATACTGGTTATCTACAGTATACAACAATACTGGTTATCTACAGTATACAACAATACTGGTTATCAACAGTATACAACAATACTGGTTATCATCAGTATACAACAACACTGGTTATCTACAGTATACAACAACACTGGTTATCTACAGTATACAACAACACTGGTTATCTACAGTATACAACAATACTGGTTATCTACAGTATACAACAATACTGGTTATCTACAGTATACAACAATACTGGTTATCTACAGTATACAACAATACTGGTTATCTACAGTATACAACAATACTGGTTATCTACAGTATACAACATAAAAAAAACAGATCAACTCTTCACACAGACATTCTTCTTGTCTAGTTCACAGACTGAATGTACACACCGAGTGTTTATTACTGCTACTTGGAATAACTACTGTATATTATGAACACCTTTCGATGAATGTATATTTCTGTGAATAATCAATGTGTAACAGTGAATTTATTTATATGGTTAATTGTGCACGACTGGCATGATTACTTTAAAATAGCACTATTAAGTAAAGACATTATTTATGAATTAGAAATATGTAATGGATACCAATAAATAATATTATGTAACAGATAACAATAAATAATATTATGTAATGGATACCAATAAATAATATTATGTAATGGATACCAATAAATAATATTATGTAAGGGATACCAATAAATAATATTATGTAACGGA